TTTATATAATGAAAATAGCCATTTATCTCAAATGAATGGCCGTCGGTACCACAAATATGGAGCTTGGTATCATGCAATAGTCACTTGTATCACGACTCATGGTACACAGTACTATAAAAATAGTCAATTCTACTACGATTGATGGTACTTTGTATCGTGGCAACGGTTCCTTGTACCGTAACTGTGGTACTTTGTACCATGGAAATAACCACTTCTACCATGAAAACGGTCACTTGTGCCATAACTCATAGCACTTTATATCATGGAAATAGTCACTTGGACCATGACTCATGGTACTTTGCACCATGAAAACGGTCATTTGTGCCACAGAAATGGTCACTTGTACCACAGAAATGGTCGTTTGTACCAAAGAAATGGTCATTTGTGCCACAGAAATGGTCATTTGTGCCATCAAAATGGTCATTTGTGCCATAAAATGGTCGTTTGTACCATAGAAATGGTCATTTGTACCAAAAAAATTGCCGTTTGTACCATAGAAATCGTCATTTGCGCCACAGAAATGGTCATTTGTGCCACAGAAATGGTCATTTGTGCCATCAAAATGGTCGTTTGTGCCACAGAAATGGTCATTTGTGCCATGGAAATGGTCATTTTTGCCAATCCCTTGTTACAGACAGACGGACAGACAGACACACGTGAATTACGGTTTCTAGACCCTAGCCTTTCAGTCTAGGGAATAGGTAATAACGAAGACCCTTCAGTGAAGTCCCTGAAGACCGTTGATCAGTGACGCTAATGATGAGTGTGTATCATTGATCACTGATATAAAGATCATCAATATTTCAGTGATGTCGATGTTGGCGCTTTCAGAGCTCACTGACACTGAACCCATCGGCATACAGTGCTCAGGCAGTAAAAATCGGTAAAATAACATGTAATAACGTGTTTAAAAATGTGTGCATTTTACGTTTTCAAACGCGAACATTTTTTTGTTGAAAAAGTTACGAATTAAAAGATGATATTGCTTGCAAACTTATTTTTTTCAAAAAATAAAAATCGTTTTTAAGGGTAAAATGCCGTTTTTAACGCATTATTACGCGTTAAAACCACACTAACGCTAAAAAGAACATTTTTTTTTCAAAAAAGTAAGTTTGCAAGCATTACTATCTCAGATTCGCGATTTCTTCTACAAATAATTTTTTGCGTTTGAAAACATAAAAAGCGCACATTTTAACACGTTATTACATTTTATTTTACCGATTTTTACTGTCTGGGTGAGGATCTATGTCAATAAGAAAAGTGTCCAGTATTTTAGTAATCTCACTGACACCGTATATACCTATACGTGACGATGACAACCAGGCCACCCGTATCCTAACAATATCTTTTCACATTCGTGGCATTCCTATTACACTCGAATCGGGCCACTGCGATATCCATCCGCACCTACATCCGCATATACCCATTCATCGCTAGAGCATCCTGGACAACCCTAGGATCGGTCCGAATATGCCGATGAGCAGTCCCTGCAGTAAACTCCTCCTCATATTAGTAGAGTCCCCTGGACAAAAAGTTGATCGGGCGTATTAGAAGACCCCCTTTAATCATTTTTTGATAATTAGAAACTTTACTTAGGGAATTTCTGTCCAGAAGTATACAGCTTTTGGGTTTTCTTCTGTAATCTTTAGAAAATTAGTCCAAACGTATTCGTCAACCAGAGTTCCCAGATTAAACACTCAAAAATCAGAAATTTTTTTCTTAAAATTGGAAAAATACCGGAATTTTTATTCTCAAAAGTCGAAAAAATCGGAAAGTACGTTTTTCAAGGCTTAAATAGCTAGTCTGTTTTTTTCTCCTAATAGGCTATATCATTTATGTTGCTTTTATTGACTTTTCGAAGCAATGTCTTAAAAGATATCTGATAAAGAATTAAAGAAAATATAAGTTTACATATACAATTAACTGATGATTAAGAAATTTACATAAATCATTTTAACAGGATCACATTGCTTTTTTCAAAAGTCTTCTGAGCAAATCAACGGAAGAAAAGAATTAACATTGAAAACTCATAAACACATGCTTTTCACAAAAGTTTTACGAAGAACAACAAGACTTATTCTTTATAACGTCCGTTTTTGTTTATAGTTCCTTGTTAACTCGAATTTTCTTGAAAATACCAGGTTGAGGTAATACATATTCATAAAAATACCCGCAGGAGTAAATGGAACTCATTCTGATTTTCCATTCGGCAACAGTCAATAGAGTACCCCACACAATTAGATTAGTTCTCTTATGTTTGCAATGAAGCGCAAAAACTCAAACAGGAAAATATTATTAATTATTGGTACAAAGAAAATTAGTTCATCGTGAGAGAAAGCTAAATTTTAGTTGTTTGTAAAATACTCTAATATTTTTGAAGATGAGTTTTCAAAGCACTGAACTGTGCTTTATTGGGTTCATAATGCTGCAGCACTGAATGATTATATTAAAGTAGATCACAATATATAGGCAATAGCAAGTCATCATTAATTGATTCTATAATATTCTAAGAACATGGATTTAGGAAAAAGCCCAAATACTAGAGAAAAAGTAGAAAATTGGAAGATGATCGAAAAAATGTGCTCAACATTGGAAAGAATTGGAACATGGGAAAGTCGTCAGAATAGATTCTGAAGATGGGAATTCTCCTGCCAAATCGAAAGATCTGGCAACCTTGCCCTCAACCTTCAAAACCCTGAAAATCCCTATGAGGATCTCGAAAAATCGCCCTTCCTTTCTGGTAAAGTACATCTAGTTAATAATCGTTAAAAAACCTAAGACATAATAGAAGATTCTCTGAGAAATTTTCACGACGAGACATAATAGAAGACCCAGGGTCTTCTAATAGGGGGAGGGGTTTAATGAAGAACAGATCTCTTGCGATCTGATTCAGCCGATTTTAGGGCTAATGAAGAGCTCACCTGGGAAAACTAAGTTTTTCCGGAAAATATCTAACTTGAGTTTTTATCACAAAAAACAGTGAAGCTTTCTTGTTCAGAATATATTTGTTTTCCTGAGAAATGATCAGATTTTCAAATTTTTCACTCATGAAACTGAAAATCTACTACAATTTAAATGCAGAAAACGTCGTGGTTTCTCAAGATTGTCAATATAAAAAAAAATTCGCTCCCGCTAGCATTATTGTAGAGAAGGACTTTATTACACTATTCAACGTGTCAGACGGGACTAGCTGCGATCATATACGACATTTTTTAAAACGGCTCAGTGGAATAGACTCCCGTAACATGACTTGTCACAAATTTCTTTTTCTCACTGTTCGGATGAGCGAGGATCACCACATCTTCCCATCAAAAGGGTACCCTCGATAATTCTACGATCGTCCCGAAGCGACCCTAGTGCTGTTTTTCCAATATGGGAAAGGAGGTCCCCTGGAATTTGAAAGATGCATTTTCCAACAAACCAAATGACGAGATGCTGTTTCTCTGTGTTTCGATCGGCAATGTGTCGACAGATCCAGATGAATCGATAGAGCATCCGCGACAACTATAGCATTCAGTCGACAATACAAATCTGTTGCCCTTACAATACGGAAGAGAGGGCATCCTGGAAGCACCGCGAAAGGGATATCATATAAGACTCTTCCTACTCGCCGTCCGGCTCCATCACTCTGGCAGTTACCATGAGAACTTAGTAAAAGTTGATCATAACAGATAACGGAATAGTCACGCTTCTGGAAACACAGCTGATACCCCATAGCTTTTACGGGAAAGGAATTCTAGCATAAAAGCGTGTCAGTGGGAACATATCGACATAAGACGACAAAATGAGCACCCAAGAGTATCTACTACAAACGAGACTTCGACAACAGTAGAACCATCTACAGTAGAACTTCAAGACTGAAGAGAAGCTACTATAACACCACTCCACCTATCAACCTTACTTCTCTATAATAGCCACTGAGAACCCAAGTGTATGCCCGATACTAGGATTTGAGAACCTAAGGATAACCTACAATACTACAACTTTAGGACCTGAGAGTACCCCTAATACTAAAGCTTGAACAGCTAAGGTACCGCCAAATAGTAGGACTTGACAACCCTAGAGTATCCCCCAATAATACGACTTGAAGATCTAAGGGTACCCTCGAATAGTAGGACTTCAGGGCTTAAGGATACATCCGATAATGAGACTGATACCACGTTCCCCGTTAACTGATAACTGGCTGTTAGCATTTCTAGGCAACTAGTAAATTTTTCTATAGAATCCGTTACTGTTATCATTCCCAGGTAACATTCTGGGAACGGTAACTTCCAACTCTGGCCCTAGGTGTAAGTATATAGGTATGGGTGTTGAAAGACAAGTCCTGATCTATTCTCACATCCACACCCCTACCACACCCACGTAATTGATTTTCATCCTCTGTCTGCATCAAATATGGATCATTTATAATCAGTTTGTAAAGCGAAATTAGCTGCATCTTTTGGTACATGACAGTTACGAGAAAAAAAATCGACAGGCAAGGAATTCTAATAGTCAATATTATAAGTTTATTATAATGAGAAAATGCATATAAAATGAAAATACACCTAGAACAGAATGCCTCTAAGAAATTAATTTGGCAAACAAAAATTACAGAAAAAAATACATAGAACTACGTAAAAATTTTCGGACTTTCGTTTTAAACTGATCAGAATTTTGTCTGAAGGGGTATCAGATTTGTTGACTTATCCAGTGGTGTTCTTTCTAGGAAAGGTCACTTCCGACCCTTACCTACTGAATGATATGCGGCTGTGCAGCATTTTCTTTTCTGACTTTTTAGAATACATAATGTATGCAGGTATCCTACCGACTTCCTTATATACGAAGGAAGAATAATTATATATATATTTATATCTTTAATAGGCTATTGAAAAATATTCCTTTTTAGATCTATTTTATTTTTATTTTGTTGTCTTGTTGTGCTATTATATGAACTATTTAAAGAATATATATCAATATCATTTTAATATATAGCATTATCTTTCGGATAAAAACATATAATGGCAACAAGTGCGACAAAATTATCTAATAATAATTCTACTTCCTCTTCATCCAATAAAACAACAATTTTATCTTCATTCCCACCAACCACTGATGCAACATTACCAATACCAACTGTTGAACGTGTAATGAAATGTAAGAATTAAAATGAAAAAAAAAAGAAAATATTCTTAAATAAATAATCAAATATGACATTATCTCCTGTTTTTTTGTTTTTTTAGCCATTCCATGTCCACCAAATACACGTTTAACAGCTTATGATGTATTCGATTCACGTGGAAAACCTCGTGTTGATGTCCTAAAAACATATTTCATTGCTGAAGGACGTGTAACTGAAGACGTAGCACTTAAAATAATTGAAGATGGTGCAAAATTATTACGAGAAGAAAAAACTATGATCGATGTTGAAGCCCCAATAACTGGTATAAGAAAAAAAATTATTGTTTCTTTTTCTTTTTGCCTCATTTATTTGATTTATTATATGATAAAATTCAGTATGTGGTGATGTTCATGGACAATATTTTGATTTAATGAAATTATTTGAAGTTGGTGGTTCACCAGCTACTACTCGTTATTTATTCCTTGGAGACTACGTTGATCGGGGTCATTTTAGCATTGAAGTAAGAAAACAATTCATTCGAGAAAAGATCTATTGTATTTTATGTTTTCTATTATACTTTAGTGGGTTCTTTATTTATGGTCAATGAAAATTCTTTATCCTACAACATTTTTTCTTCTTCGTGGTAACCATGAATGTAGACGTTTAACGGTCTATTTTAATTTTAAAACTGAATGTAAGAACATAAAAACCAGAGACCGAAAACGAGTCGAGTACTCGACAAATCGACTCGACTCGACTCGACTCATTCCGACTCGAGTCGAGTCGAACTTAATTTTTCAAAATTTGTGTCGAGTCGGGTCGAGTTTAGTAAAATTTTCTCTCGAGTCGAGTCGAGTCGATTTTAAGTCGAGAGACTCGACTTTTTGGATTTTTTTGTGGTGCCTTATGTTTTTCCCCAACAAGAACGCTGATTAGTTTTGACTTTATTAAAACAATACGATGTCAATTCACCATGACGAGCTCATCAGATAGTAAATTTCGTCGGCTGAACAACAATGAACCGACGGCGATGAGTGGACTGAAATGAATAACGAACAATAGCGTTCATTGTATTTTCTGTATTATAGACTATTCATTCATCAATTGATGGCGTTCCATCAACCAATGATGACGGTATATAAGCAATCGATGTAGAGCACATGATAGAACTGTTCTTATTTTTTATCTCATATACTATCACTTCTTCAACATTTTTGATTGAAAGCTACAATCGTTGCCGTTTTAAGAATGGCAATCAATTCAACCAACGACGACACGACAGAATGTTCGCCAGAAGTTTCATCTTCTCCTTTAGGTTCCACGTTGGTATCGTCTTCAGCTGCTTCAGAAACTTACACATCTGTCAAAATTAAACAACTCCTAATTCACGACAAGAGCAAGAATCGCTACAAAATTTTCTCGAACCCAAGTAAACGTGCAACTGCTGCGTGTTGGAATAAATTTGGTCTGTCAGGTGTTCGAAAAAACAATGAAGAAAATGCAGAATTCAGTATTATTGAAGGTTTTGCAAGGTGCAAGGATTATTACGATACACATCTCTACAACTAAAATGAAATTTATAAACATCAGTTACTTGAACGAATATTCGGTGGCTCGACTCGACTCGACCCCAGCCGAGTCGAGTCGAGTCGAGTCCAATATTTTTTTAGAACCTATCGAGTCGAGTCGAGTCGAGTCGAGTCGAGTGTGATTTTTTTGGCTCGTTTCGGTCTCTGGTTAATACATCTATATCAAGAAAAACAAATAAAGAACAATTATGCGTCAGTATTCGTGAACCATCACTTTTTGAAGATTATAAAGCACAAACAAAACATTTTTTCACGACAAAACATTATTATCATCTTCAACCTGATCGACATAGTTCTCATCGAAATCATCATCTTTAACATCAATACTAATCTCTAACATATATTCATATATTTGGTTAAACATTTACATTTACATTCATCTGCACACATTTATTAACATTATATCAAGTCATCAAACAACGTACAATAATGATTAGATATTATTCTTATTATTTATGAATTACATTTTAGAACATTTTTTTCTTCAATTTCATTGAACTGAATCTCATTCTGATACTTAATCTGATCTTTCAACATGTTTTTGAAAAATCTGTATATTTTCACTTTGTCATTCCTTATACGTCATTTTGATTTACATATTTTTTTCTCTCTTCATGTGATTTTTTTTACATCCTAGTTTTTTTATCTTCTTTATTGATGAAACTGATCGAAGTCAGAAAATTTTTTCTCACATTTAGTTTGTCTTCATATTTTTCTTGTCATGACCATTAAGTTGATTTTGTGAACCTCATAGAATTATTGATTTTCTTCTTCTCATTTTCTTTCACCTTTATCTATACTAAAAACATTTGTTGTTATGAGTATATATATATATATTTTTTTTTTTCGCATTTGGTGAAGCTTGTTATACTTTGTTTACCCATGTGATGAAAACCGGACAAAAATCGACGGTTAATCGTGGTTTTACCGGTCCGGTTACCGGCTCCTTAACAAAGAAAAACCGCGGCAAAGCGGCGGTTTTTCTCACTTTACCGGTTAACCGGTATTTTTTTTAATGGCGAACCGCGGTAAACCACAGTTTACCGCTAAAACTGATCCGGTTTTTATAACATGGGTATTATATACTTATACTTCATTACTAAAAGTTATGATTATTATTTTTTTCTTTTTCTAAGATTTATACTTATCATTTATCACACTTTGTTTCTTTTCTATGTAACTTCTCGTTGATATTAGTCATTCAAAAATGTGGATAGGACACATTTTCCTTCCGTTGGGGAGAATGTTAGAAGAATGTCACTAACATATGAATAGCTTCATCCTGTTCTCTTCTCTATCATATATCTTCTTTATTCTTTTCTTCTGATATATATATATATACTTGTTACGCTAGTGTTATATTCATTCCTTATGATTTTCAAATAAAAGTAACGTGAACACTAATAGGCTGTTTTATTTTTTCTGGATAGCTTGACAATCGTTTTTTTCGATCTCAAACGATAAAGACGACGATGATGATTCAATACTGGAAACTCTCCCTGTTTGAAGTATTGTAACTAATAAGTGATGAGCACATGTAATAGAAGAGAGATAAGAGTTTTGTGGCAGAAGAAGGAGAGTCATCCTTTTAGTCTCTTATTGGAAAGTTTATCTTTTATTAGATACAAATAGCAAGTCAATATGGAGAATATGAAAAACATATGTGACGTTGTATTTGCTTAACAAACGATCATTTCTTTTGCGAGAAGAAGAAGAAGAGGAAGAAACAGAAAAAAAACGTTTAGTGTGAATCTGTTTTTGTTTCTCCCACTCAAGTGAATCATAGTGGGAATCTTTTTTTGTTTCTCCACTGAAGTGAATCATAGTGGGAATCTTTTTTTATTTCTCCATTGAAGTGAATCATAGTGGGAATTTTTTTTGTTTCTCCCACTAAAGTGAGTCATTTATACCTCACAGCATTTTGATCAAACCATGTTATTAACGAATTTCTTCGAAGAGCTATGAATTCTAATCTCGGTATATTATAACTGTGCAGCTTAGGGGGCTTCTATGTCCAGAAATAATCCTTTCCGTTTTTTAGCTTCGTCGATGGACGTAGACCAATTTGATCCAGACTCAAGTAAGGTTGTTTTACAACTTTAGAGCATGGCTATCTTACATAAAATCAATCTTTATTTTTCTTTTATTCACAGTTACTTTGGATTTACTTTCGCCAACTAATCAAGAATTTATTGACAGAATGTTAACCGAATATGCCTCGTTTGAAAGCCATTCATTTCAGTCCAGTGATTCGAGTATGTCTAATTTATCCGACTGTTAAATTTTAGGCCTTTTCTCTTTCTCTGTATAACAGGTGACCTAACATACATTGATGAATCTTCTGAAAATTCAGTTTTTAGTAGTCAAAGCCATTTGACAGGTAGTATCTTGCGTAGTTCCTGCTTCTTTCTTCGAAAAGACTTGTTCATTTTTTTGTCTTTTCTTCTAAGGCTTTGAAATTATAACAAATGTTACAGATCAACAGGATTCAATTAGTTCGCCACAACATCAGCTAACTCAATATCCAGCTGTTTCTCGGAGTTCAAATAACATTCAAATTGTTGTTCAGCCGAAAGCAACTCAACGTCCATGTTATTTATCAGATTTTATTGACAAACCTCCACGTTACATTCGAGCACTACAGTATAAAGAAAACGGAAAAGCGTACGACTATCCAGCTATTAGAGTAAGTCTACTTCCTCGCCTTTCCTTGTTCCACTCAATTGCTTTGTTTGTCTGTTTCTAGATTCCACCCTGCTATCTGATTCCCGATCAAGCATTTTACCTTCGTGTTAGCTTGACTACAGTTGAGCTGGAAAACAGAATTCGCTATATCCACCCTTATTCTTTGGAAATACCGAAAACAAATAACCATTCAGATATTTTGCGTTGTCACCAAAGTATCTTGTACCCGATAAGGCAAAATGACGTAGATTCAAATGGAATTATGACGTAAGATTGAACACATCCAGCTAGCTTCTTCGTCATGCAAGTTCTGCTGTGTGGATATTTTTAGATTCAACAAACTTATGGTTATAAAAGCCGCACAAGAACGTCTGAAAGAATACGGAAATTTGTATTCATTTGAGACAAGTGAATTTTTCGTCTTTCAAAGCATATATCGATGTAACTTGATCCGTTCTTTCTTTTTTTTCAGATGAAGAATGTCCAAACACAAAGAAATGTCCAAAGAAAATGATTTCGGATTATCAGCTAAAAAAGTCACAGTTAGCCTTCACTGTGGTTAAATTTTTAGGTCAAGATTCTTATCAATGTATTGAAACACTGTTCTCGAATGTGATGATCGAGACGAAAAAAGATAAATTACCATTGAAAGGTGTGTCTGTATGTAGAGGTATGGCTCCATTCCAAAGACTGGGTATTGATTTCTTTTACACGTTTGGTTAATTAACGAAATTTGCCATCATCCGTTATCGGACTACAGAAGTTCATCGAGTGTAGTGAATCCGAATTTCTTAGTCCGCTAGGCCTTCAAACATCTAGCTTTTTAGAGAACATAGTGGTTATTCAGAGCTAAAACGTGTTCTTGTGAAAACTCACGGAAAGAAATACTTGGCTTTCCCAATGTCTGTTCGAGTTTTTTTTTCTTCTTCCTTTCGATTCATAGGGCAATCAGAAGAAGTTCAAAACATCCAGATTTGTACTGCTGCTCCTGTATTTCAAGACAGCTTCATTCAAGACGGTGCAGTTGATTTGAATAAATGGGTGTTTGTTGAAGGTACAGGCGAAAATGGTTGGGGTACCCACCAAGAGCAGTATTACACACAAAATGTTGAAAGAAATGCACACTGTAAGAACAAACGTCTAATCATTCAGGCACGAAGAGAAAGTTATAAAGGCAGTAAATTTACATCAGCTCGACTAAGAAGTAAACAAACATTTTTATACGGCCGACTTCAGGTAAGAACTGCTAATTTTCCGGTAAATATCCAGTGTTGTCTTTTCCTCTTGTATAACTTCAGATTCGTGCTAAATTACCTTCGGCAAAAGGAACATGGTCTTCATTTGTTCTGGTTTGTACTTTAAACACACACAAGTTACATACTCTTATGCTCACTTAAAAGAAAAATTTTGTTTTAGCTTCCCGCCGAACGCACCTACGGCAACGCAATATGGCCAGAAAATGGTGAAATTAATATCCTTTCACACTTTGGGCGTAATCCATCAAGAATTGAATCATCAGTTTCCACCAAATTAAATAATCCATTACGAAACAATCTTCCGATGAGTACAGTTGAAGTTGCTGACGCAAGTACACAGTTTAAAATTTATACACGTAAGACCTCACCATCTCTAACTTTCGCTGCTGACGGCAAAAAGTCCTTGAAATTTGGTTTTTAGTGCTATGGGCGCCGGATCAAATTGAAATGTTTGTTGGTTTGAACGAAGCAAATGCATTTGAAAGACGGATTTTTATTTGGGAAAAACTCAACCGAGACTGGACGTCCTGGTAAGTAGAGAACACATACTTCGCTGAAAAAAATTATTCTGTTCTTTTTCTTTTTAGGCCGTTTGATAAACCATTTCATCTGGAAATATATTTGGCTGTTGGCGGAGATGTGTAAGTGCAGGTTTGGGATTAAATTCAGAGTTTTATTTGAAAAATGTCGTACTCTGAGCGAGTAGATCCAGGTCACTAATGCTTAATCGAGAGTTTCCTAAGTCTCAGCTCTCTTTATGTCTACTGTCTTCTGAAAAAATCATCCTTCGAACATTTTTTTTCATTACAGAGCTGGCAATCACATCGATGAAGATCAATTTCCTCAACAAATTGAAATCGACTATGTTCGTTTCGATGAGAGAAAATAAATGAACGACAACGGCGCAAGTTCACTCAAGGCAAATTGCAATTTAGACAAGAATATCGATTGATTACCAATTTTTTATATGTGCTTTTTCTTTTCTTTTTAAATTGATGTTCTAGTCATTTTCCTTAGTTTTATCTTTTCGTTTTGAGCTTTGTTTTTATACAGTTTATTTTAAAAAAGCTCTAATCTTGAATAGATGCTTCGTTTTCTTAAGGAATCATGATGTACGGTAGGCTGAGATTCATACGGGATCCTAATGCATACTGCCTTGTGAAAGACGTCTCTAGCCTATCTCGCAGAGTTTTCAGCTATTACAAATAAGATTTTTCATAAATTCAAAATGACGAAACTGCAAGGAGAAAACAGCAGACTTTTGGACTTGAAGTTACTCTGAGCTACTTGGACCTACTTTGAGCTACTTCAAGTAGCGTACTTTGGCGTACTTTTCGACTTCAAGTCTGCTGTTTCCCACTTGCGAAACCAAATAAATTTGTCCGAGAAAAGGACTGGGAGTGGACCCTGTTTCCTGTCATGATTTAAACACAAACTTATTCATAGACACTCCTGAGCTTAAAAAATGCTTTTTTTTTAAGTAGAGATGTGCAGTTGACCTTCTCTCTCGACAAGATGAGACAGAAAGGTTGGTACTGGCCCAGAGACACAACTTTCAAATGGTGTTCAGGCTGACTGCGCCGCTTTCAAAAGTGTGCCACGATCAAGATATACTTTTCAGTAAATCCGAAGTCGTTGAAAAAAAATAAGGTCTTCGACGACGTAATTCTTTTTTCGTATGTTTCATTGGTAAGCAATCGACGACGCTCTCAGATTGCGCGTTCGGACTTCTTAGGCTGACTTTCGCTCCAAGTCTTGTTCATTTGGCTTTATCAGTTATCATACTTGCGTATTTTTGTTTTGTTCGTACAATGCAAGTACTGCTCATGCTCACTCATGTATACGTTCTGTTTAAGTTTATCTAAAAAGCTTTGCACAAGAACAAGTGGGAAAATTACCTCTTTTCGTTCTTGCCTCCTACACTCTGTTAGAAGAGAATAGAAAAAGGAAACTTCTCCACTGAATTAAAACGTGTTGTTCTTCTTTTAAAGGTCGTTACAAAAAGCAAAATAGATCTGACTGTGAATTTCTCCACTTACTAGTGGGTCGACACTTCTTCTCTGGAAAACTTTCCAGCCAGCAGCTAAGCCACATACAAAACTCTATATAAGCCTGCCTTTGGAGCTGTCAAAATACATTTTCTCTCTTTCAAAAATCCAAAACACAAATCGAAGTAAGTTATTCTTCTCATTCTGTCTCCTAAACCACAAGTAACGCGACGCAAACGTCGCTAACCCTCTACTGAAAGGATGTGATTTCCTTAAACATATGGTACTCACGAAGAAGAAGATCGCAGAACTAATGTGCTGCTATGCATCTATAAAAAGATAAATAGTTCTTGTCACCATGGCTCGCTTGCTAATTGATTGGGTTAGATTTAACCGTCGTGGAGTGTGGGTGGGTGGGTGGATGTGGGGTGTCTGAGTATGGATGAAGTGAAGACACACGCCCACACCCCATACCCACACCCGCACGCCCCACACCCACACACACCTACACACATTCACACCCCACGATGGTTAAATCAAGCCCAATCAATTAGTAAGCGGGTCATGGTGACGAGAACTATTTATCTTTTTATATATGCATAGCAGCACATTAGTTCTGTGATCTTCTTCTTCGTGAGTACCATATGCTCAAGGAAATCACATCCTTTCAGTAGAGAGTTAGCGGCGCTTGCGTTGCGTTACTGGTCATTATAATATAAATTTTGATAATATTATCTTATCGATTGTGTTGAATAAGTTGAAACGTCTCTTTCTACTTTATATTTTTGTCATATTCAAAATTAAACAAATGTTTTATTTAGACGTAGCAATTACATTGTCATTCTACAGAAATTATTATCAATTAGATCAATTGTAAAACAGTAATACATTGAATGTAGGAATCTTCTTTCTAGTTCCACACCCACACTCATCATAGATATGATGTATTTTGACTAATATTTCAATATTGAAATAGGAAATTTATAAGGATATATCCATTTGCGCATGTGAATGGCAGAAAAGAAAAAACCAATGAATACACTTACCTTCATACATACCTACACCCCAGTGAAAAATATTTCGAAAAAAAACGGAACAGAATGGTTTCATAAAAATATTGAAACCTTTTTTCTATGTAAAGAATACGTTCCTTTTGCTAGTGAATGCGTTCATCTTCAAGAGGAAACACCCTCACTCTGAAGGAACTCGGTCTTTGCTGTTCCACCATAAGACGGAATGCTTTCTTTTCTATTGAGAAAGTGTTCTCTGTTTGAAGGGAAAGCATTCTGAACCATTCTTAAACCAATGGAACCCATCCTAGTTCATTCTCTTTCGGAACGGCACAGATAGCATTCCATCGAAATAAGATCGCTTTCTTTTACGTTTTCTAGAGAAGCATTAAAAGAATGAATTCTTCTAAGTGATGAATACGTTCCTTTGGAATTAAACCACATTTCGATTGAAAAATCAAAGAACTGAAGCAAAACAGGTTGAAACTGATGTGAGAAATGGTGGAACCTTTGGTTAGTTGTCCTGTGGAGATGCCAGGTCTGATTTAGAAAAAGCATGATTTTAATAAGGGTTTGAGTTACAACGATTTGGAGCACGCCATTCGATCGAGCTCGTCGAATTACCCCGGAAATGGTCTTTTGACGAATTAAAGATTCATCCATTAATGATCAGCCGTATGATCAAGAAAGTTACCTTCTGTCAAGAAGAGAAAGCATTCAAAAACTGGTGGAAAGCGTTTCAAAAGCGATGGAGTACTTTTTTGACCGTTCCATTTTAGAACGACTAAGAACACGTTCCAAAAGGGATAGAATGCGTTCTAGACCGTTCCATTTTGGAATGCTTTCCATTTTTTTCGGAACGCTTTCTTTTCTTAAAAAAAGGGCTTTCAATTTTTTGGAACGCATTCTCAACCGTTATTTTTTACAAATATTTTTCACTGAGACATATGTCATCAATGCAGTATAATGATGTTTTTTTTAATGACTAATCACCTCTGGTTGGTACCTGTGAAGGAAAAAAGTGAGTAATATATGCAAGCTTGCATCGTATAAATAGATATATGAGTTAGATGTAAAGACTACGAAAAACTCACTCAACTGATCAAGTGAACAGCAAGCGCTATTGACTAGTATCTTTTACTGGAAACAAACAAAGAAAAACTTTCCACTAAACTGAACAAGCATTACTATCATTCAATTTCAACAACTGTTATATCTAGAAATACAAGTAAGGTTTTTTTTCTATGTATCACTAGCAGTCAAACACTGACAGATAGGTGCTAGTATAATCTCCTCAGAATTAAATGTAAAATACAATGTTCGTCTTGTTGTAAATTACACAGAATCTGTTTTATTTCATCTGTTTATAGACTCGTTTCTTCATCATTCTTTTACATGATCCTCTAGAAATGCAATAAGGAATAGGTTCATATATTCTAACAAAAAGTTATTGATATATAGCCGGTTATCGTATATCAACAATTTCTATCACGATTGCACTCATTTTTTTGAATAGAAGAATCATTTTTTATATATAGAAAAAGTGATTAAATGCCGACCTACTTTGTTGTATTCGAAATATCATCTATGAAATGATATTTCGTATATGAGGTTTAGGTTTAAGTGATATAAATAACGATACTTGAATTCGCTAACATCTATATTGTTTTGCTTACAGTTATTTACCAACATCGAGATGACTATATTCATAGAAGAAAAACAAAAAATGCTGAAATTCTACGTTGATAAACAACGAGTAAAGACTATAGCAAAGATCGAAATCGGCATAAATATATCTCCGAAACTATTATCTTGGATATTACGTTCTCTAACCTTTGTCTTTTTGTGTATCATTGCTTGCACTATTGCCTTACTCGAATCATACGGTGATCAGCGTCCAATCAATCAAACATTTTCCATGGTCGATATCGGTTTTGAATTAACACAACCATTACATGACATATTAGGCTCTAATATGTTTGTACATCATTGTTTAGCCTTTTTGAATACTCTTGGCATGTATATTTTGATGATATACACAGTAATAGGAATCGGCTATTGGCAAGGAAAACCTGGTTTGATCGTTGTTGAGATATGCATATTTATCGTACGTCTTATATGTGGTTGGCTTACACAGTTACCTTATTCTACAGAATATCTTGCTAGTCAACATGACTTTCCTGATTGTCTGACCAATCTATTTCGAAGTACAGTCAGTGATGAATTATCGTCAAGACGACAACATGCTAATTTTTTCTTTTTCTACAGTGGTCATGCTGCACTTGTCAGTCTTTTGGCAGTTCATTTTTATCGGATAGGACATTTACATTACTCTTTTGCTTGTCATATATTTAATTTTTTACAGATTTTACGTTTACTCGCTACACGAGGTCATTACACAATTGATCTTATTACTGGTATTATGGTCGGTTGGCGTGCACATAAATTTGTTCCATCTATTGATAGATACTTGCAGTCATTCACTATTGTCAGATATATCGTACACTCAAAATTAACTAAAATGCAGTAAACAGAGATATTTATGTTTATGTTTTTATTGTCTGATTAAATGTGTGTAAAAAAAAGATGAGATACTATGTTATTTCAAGATGATTAACTATTATGGAATAAATAAGAATAAGATTAAATGTAATGTAATAATTTAAAAGTTCCGTGAACTCGTCTACAAAAGAATAAAGTTAGAGTTCAAATATAGGGATTCGAACATTGTAGAATAGAAAATTGTCCAAATTATTTTACTGTTCTTTTTTTAGTCTTCTTGCATCTTACACTTTCATCCTAGCAAAAATTCAAAAGAAGACAACATGATAATGGAAATTAGTCTTCAAAAATGTTGAAAACTTGGACCAAAATTAACGAAAATCAAAATAATCGCATAACATGAGAGAAATGAATTCGGAAAACATACTGAGAGATATTCAAAGACAAGGCCCATTCTCACACCCATAACACCCACATCCTGTAGTTTATACAATTGCGGGAAAAAGCAATTCAATTCTGCTTTCTCTTATTAATAGCGTTATTTTGAAAGATTCGTTCATGAACCCATGACGAAATATACAGAGCGATATAGATAACCAATTCTATCATAAAAGACTTTTAAGGTTAATTTATCTTAGTGTTTTTCTTTTGATGTGTATACATTTAAGAAGAATTTGACTGATATCAAAAACGATTTCATGTAATTTTCAAGATTGATGAAAATAATTAATAATTGGATAAAATGAATCACATGTTTCAAAAGAAGTTTTGTTGCGATAAAGTTTCTTTTCTTTTTTCTACCTATTATAGAATGACTATCGATCATTATGAAACTAATTTGAAATGTGATATTAAAACATTTTTTTCTGGCAAGACGATCTTTATTACTGGTGCTACTGGTTTTGTTGGAAAATGTTTAATTGAAAAATTACTTCGTTCATGCCCAAGTAAGTTAACATGTGTTCAATTTTATTTGAATAACATTCTTTTTTCAGATGTTCATCAAATTTGTATTCTTGTTCGACCAAAACGGGGTTCATCATCTAATGAACGCGTGATCGAATTATGCAGTTCACCAGTAAAATCGATTTCATTTGTTAATGTTTCTATTCATTAAACATATTCTTTTTTTTTTGTAGCTCTTCGATATTGTTCGTTCGACTTACCCGGACTTCGCATCTAAATTATATGTCATTGAAGGTGATTTAGCTCAGCCGAATTTCGGAATGAGTAAATCCGATCAAATCAAGTTAATTGATGAATGTCATATCGTTTTTCATTGTGCAGCTACAATTCGTTTTGATGAACCGTTGAAGTAAACGAAATTACATACTTGTTTCTGTTTATAGTTTTTTTTTCTGGTTACTGACAGAACGGCTCTTGAACTCAATCTACTATCAGTAAAAAAACTCATTGAATTATGCCACAAAATGGAATGCATTGAGGTTTTTATAAAGAAATAATTACAATGTTCAATCTCTATTGATCTTTTTTCTATTTAGTCAATCGTTCATGTATCAACAGCTTATGCCAATTGTGATCGAACTCATATTGATGAAATCGTATATCCAACAAATGTGGATCCTAATGTAATGCTAAATTTAATTAAGACAATAGATGAATCTGTACTCGATTTAAATACACCATTTTTGTTACGTGGTTTACCAAATACATACACATTTACTAAAGGTCTTGCTGAAGTTTATCTAACTCAACATGCCAAGCATCTACCAATTGGTAAGAGTTACTTGATTCTGTTGAATTCGGTCCATAGTTCTTATCTGTTTCTAGCCATAATTCGTCCATCCATGATTGGTTCAACTTGGATAGAACCAATACCAGTAAGAAGAATATTGAAGAAAAAAAAACAGTTATAATAGAATATTTTGCTTTACTTAGGGCTTTATTGACAATTATACAGGCCACACAGGTCTTATTGCAGCAGTACGTCAAATTTCTTTTTACTTGTAAACTATACATTGTATCACAAATATTTTTCTAGGTAGTAACTGGTGCTCTGAGAGTAGTACATGCTGATAAGACTGTCAAACCGAATATCGTACCTGTTGATACAGTGGTCAATATGATGTTAACTATTGCTTGGTATACTGCTGGGACTAGTCAAAGTAATGATAAATCACTTCCAGTCTATCATTGTTGTGCTGCTGAAGAAAGTATGAATAATAAATGTATAACGTCATATGAATGGAGTAAGATTTATTGGAATATCTGAGAATCATTTCTATTTTTTCTAATTATTACGTATAGTTGCAACAGCAATCAAACAACTTCATACGAATGAAATTGGCTTTGAACGTTGTTTTCGATGGCCAAAATTGAGTTTTACTCGTAATAAGTAAGTATTTTATTGGTAGTTTTTGAACAATTTTTCATGGTTGTTTCCAGATTTATTTACAAGATTCGACATTTTTTGGAAGAATTATGCGTTGCTTTTATATTCGATCTTATTCTTTGGTCAACACGACAAAAGCCAAGGTAAGCTCGAATTTAAATATAGATTATTTATTTTAATCTATTGATTATGTCTTAGATTCGTTCAACAATCAAAGAAATTAAGAAAATTCGTTCGTGTACTTTATCATTTTTCAAATAATACTTGGACATTTTCAAATAAACAAAGAGATATACTGTGGAAAGCAATAGATAATAATGATCAAGATCGAAAAGTAAATATTTTTTCTGTATATTTTTGTTTGAATTGATTCTATTACTTAATAGTTATTCAATTTTGATTTAACCGAACTTGATTGGACTGACTATATCAAAGATCATGTAATAGGTGTGAAAAAATATTTATTAAAAGAAGATATAAATCGAATGTCAACATGTTATAAACGAATTTCTAAGTATGTATACGTATGATTATCAAATAAGATTGATACAAAATTCTAAGATTAAGATTTGCAAAAAAAAAGTTCTCGTTACACTATGAAAACTTGATATACAAAATTCTAGAACTCATATTGCTTTATAATTAATTATACTTCTCCATCTGTATTTTAGGTTAAAATATCTGGAACAATTTATCACGATTTGTTTTGTCACTATTTATCTATTTTATTTTTGTAAAATATTTGCCTTATAATTTTGTTCTTATTGTATTTTGTAATATATTGAATTTGTCAATAAAAAATTTCAGAGCCTAGAGCAATATCACACATATTCGAAACTCAGGTATCAAGATTCTAAAACATCTCTATGATCGTCAAAAGCAAAGTTTTTGAGTGGCTTCGATGAAACGAGATAGATACCGAAGTCAATTCACACATTATTGAACAGCTTGAGACCTGATACGAGCTTTGTCCAGGTAAATCTTGTTGTCATGCTCTGTGTATGTCTTGACACTCACATAAGTCTACTCATACAGTCATACTGAGGCGAACCAATTTACGGTACGCAAAACCCCTCCCGAAAGATAGACATGCAGCCTAAAATGATACACATAGCTATAACCTAATTGATTATTCTCATCAATAAAGCTGTGCAGGATAAGCCTTTTTTGTATCCTGTATCTTGTGTAAAAAAATTTCTCATAGCCTTATCCTACTATACCCTGCTGCATGTTACTTCGACACTACCATATTCTATTGCCCTACAGAGTGTGTGTGGCTGTACATGTTCTTGCAGATTAAAAGAAAAAACACACTTACCTATTTTTATTCTTTATTTGGAGTTCACATTTATTTTAAAGATATACTTCAATCCATTGGAATGTAAGAAAGAAAATAATTTTATCTGCTATCAATGAGAAAAACTTTTGGTGACTTATATCGTTATAACGAATAGCATGCCGGTATATGTCTAGGTTGCAGAAAAAAAATTCACATTCAGATGCAGTCAACATATCACTGCCAATATTGATTGAAGTGGATCCGCCCTCAGAAAATCGATTTTTTTCGAAACAATATCGAAATTGAGTTTTTACCACAGACAGATCCCATGTAAAAAAAATTAGGGGTAAAATCAGATTAAAATCGATTAAAAAATGATTAAAAATCGATTAAAAAATGATTAAAAATCGATTAAAATCATACACCTTTTAATCGATTTTTAATCAAAAATAATC